CCACAGGACCATCTCAACGGCTTTGCGCCGTTGCACACTCGGCCCCCGGACGGGTGACCTCTTCCAAAGAGAAATCCTCTCTATATCGATTAGAGAGTCGAGTAACAACCCACAATGCCGCTGAAAGGCCAACCCAGACTTATTTACTAGATAACCTCCTTTTTTCCCGTAGTTGGTTAACTACGGGAAAAATCTTATCCGGTTACGGACTAATCCGTACTACCATCCACGCCTAGAATAGGCCCCAAAGACTGGCCCATAGTTATGGGCCATGATGACTATCCGGGCAATGGGGTATACCCCGAGGCCCGATACCTGCATGGCACATTGGTGCATGTAGACGACAATCAACGTGGCAAATGAAAAAAAGTGACTTACAATAAGTATTATTTATAATACATATTGAATTAAAAGTTTGTTTCTGTTACATTCTTACCAATGTTAAGACAGATAGATTAGTTTATTTTAGTTACTTTCGTAGCGTAATGTTTTATGGAATCTTACTATGGGGTAATGCGACTGACATTGAAGTCATATTTGTTTTGCTAAAGAGAGCCTACTGGCAATTTATAACATAAATTGTAAAGAGCCCCTTAGAGAAAATTTTTAAAAAAATAAACATGTTAACTTTGGCATCGCAATATATTTATGAAAATTTAATATATTTACATAAAACATAAATAGCTTTCATAAGAAAAAAGATGTTCATACTTTAAACACTAGGAACAAACATAAGCTTGTAATACCAGTTACTAGACTCCACAGAATTAATAATTCATCTATGGGGCAATGTACACGTTTTTACAACAAAATCCCAGAAAATGTACAAAATTTGTCATTAAACAAGTTTAAATATTTTGTTAAAGAAAAATTGTACAAAAAGGATTATTATAATACCAAAGATTTTTTCAAGAAACAGGTCCTGCGCCCTGTCTTCCTCGGAGACCAGGGTCAATTCACCAGACTCTCCAAAACCTGTTACGACACAGGCTTCAAATATGACCGTGCTAAACCTAACATTCTAAACGAACGAAAGTACCTAGTTCAAAACTCTTTTTGTCGTAGAACTACGAACGCGCCCTAGTTCGTCCGTAACGCTGACTTTCACCGAGAATTAGAGTTCCCCACAATCAAACAATTTCTAAAATCACTCTCTTAGAACTTCTTCAAAGTCTCAGAGTCTCACTCAAATCATCTTATCTCATCTATCGAGTTCGAAGACCGAGACAAACAAGAAGACACTTCAGGCTCCCTATTAGGTCCCATTGGACGTCAGATTAGTGATAGCTTGTAAAACTGCCCCATTGTGTAAATAGTTTAATAAATTTACTTTTGTTTTTATACAATCTTTAATTTAACTCAACCCCTAGCAGTTTAAAATAGCAATAAATTCTCTCAGTAAATAATTAAATCTTATATATATCACAGTAATAGCACAGAATAAATAATTTTGTTGCACTCCTTTGATGTCGACTGCTTGCCGACGTTTAATAGCCTACATAGTTATTATTAATCAGATAAATCGCGCACGCAAGCTAAATAAAATTTTATCGCTGCGCACGAGCGTCCATATCACTTTGCATCTTTTTCCCTTCCTACGCCATGGCGGACTTTTCGTGGTTATTAGGGGCTATCATAAAAGAGTTAAAAAAATATATTGCGAAATGTTAATTAAGTTACTTAGGTGAAGTACCTATTCTAACTATGATCGACTGACCATATTTTCGCACCTATGTGATTTCTACGATGCTCGACGCATACAATTAGCAAGGCCACAACAAACAAACCTGAGATACGATTGCTAACAGAAATGTGATCGTATTCTACTCAGTTAATAATTAATTTCAGTGTTTTGTGTTATTATAACTTAAAATATTTTAATTACAAAAGACATATATAGGTATGTAAGTATGTAGATACTTGGGTAGTACTTGTGTAGATAAATTATTACTTAATTCTTTTTTGCTATAATTACCTATCTAACAAACCAATGAAATAAATTCACCTTTCATAACTTCCTTCTAAAATCTTTTGGTAATTTTAAGGAATGATATATCTGAACCTTTTTTGGACATTTAGCATCCATCCACGCAACAATTGTGGTAGGAACGTCGTTTTTCCACTACAATTTATCAAATAGGTAAAATAATATATGTAACACTAAACAAAGACTATTTCAACAAGTATTTACAAAAAACTATTAACGTAAACAGCGTTGAAAAATCCTCAAAACAAACATTCAATCGCCTACAACGCGCTAGCCCCGACTGCGTATGTTACCTTTTTTTTTTTTTTTGCGGATGGAAAATCATCTAATGACCCCTTTCGCTCTGGGTGGAGCGTAAGGGAGTGTCAGACTTTTACTGACTAAAAACCATCCGTGTTCCTTCAGTGCCCTTACGTTACGGAGCCGCGGTATCTCTTTCGAACAGCCCGCAGCCCCGGCAGGCGTCGGCTCTTGCGGGCCCCTTCACGCTGCTGACAGCTCTTTGAGGCGCGCGTGGAACAAAACGCGCCGTCGACACGGCCTGTCGTCATTAGACGGACGGACGACGAGCTACCCATTGCTCGCCGTCCACAGGCCCGCGCCTACGGTGGCCGGGGGCCACGACGTAGCCCCCGACGCCCGGGGCGTCTCCCGCGGCGGCCGGGGAGGAAAGCTGCTGCTCTCTCCTTCTCCCGCTCCGCCACCTCCTTCGCTAGCATCACTGCTTCGCAGAAGGTGGTGACGGCATCCCATTCCGTCTCGCTCCGGACCATGGCTTCGACCAGGGCCGGACGCGAGAGGTCGCCGCCGCCTATCGCCGCTACGAGGACACGGCGGTGCTCCGCCCAAGCAGGGCACACCTCCACGGTGTGTTCCACCGTGTCCTCCGGTCCATCCTCGCAGTGGGAGCACCCAGGCGTTTCCTCCCGCCCGATTCGGTGCAGGAACCTCCCAAACACACCGTGTCCGGTGAGGACCTGCGTCAGGCGGAAGGTGAGGATGCCGTGGCGTCTCTCAAGCCACTCCTCAAAGAGGGGTCTTATCGCCGCTATAGTGGCGTGCCCAGCACGGGGTTGCGACAGTCGCTGTCTTCATGTCGCCATGAGATCGTGCCGGAAGTCTGTCCGCTGCGCGACAACTTGCCACGGCAGTGGGGTTTCCCCACGGCACTGTGCCTCCGCACGCCATTCGTGCAGGCGCGCGAGGACTATCGCCTCCAGATCCCATGGCGGCAATCCGGCAAGGAGGCTCGCCGCCTCGCGGGAGATCGTGCGGTAGCCGCGAACCATTTTCACGGCTATCACCCTTTGGGGCGCGTTCAGGTGGTGGACGGCAAGCCGCGCCAAACCACGCGCCCACACCGGGGCCCCGTAAAGGGCCATGGACCGCACGATCCCCGCGTAGAGCCTCCGGCAGGTGCGTATGTTACTCTGGGCACAGAATAAATAATAGTACTACGTACAGAAGTTTAATAGCCTACATAATTCTTATTAAGTATTACTTTGCACTTTTTCTCATTCCCACATCACGGCTGTTTTTCCGAGGTTACTTAGGGCTGTCAAGAAAGAGTAAAAATACAGTATGTATAACATTAATAATTTATTTAATTCACAATTGTTTTACTTTAATATAATGTTTTATAAATTTTTCTGTCTCTAAAATACCAGTTATTAAATTTAAGAGTTGAAAAAACTTTAAATCTTATATATAATTTTAGTAAATAATAAAAGGAAAAAAATGGACATGGAGTATCGGCAGAGTCATCGATTTATTTTTGGTAAAAAATATGAAAAGATATTCATTCACTAAACTAGAAACAATAAAAATATTATTATTAATTTTATTTATAAATATTGTTGTATTAATATTTTTATTGTTTTATATTTCTTTATTTTACCTAAGATTTTTAATATATATTCGTACGTTACCAAGGTTTGCCTGAAAGAGCACATAAATTTTTTTTGAATTATTTTATCTTACAATTAAATACTAAACGCTAAAAAAATTACAAGTGTTTACAAAAAACTATTTACGTAAACAGCGTTAAAATACATCAATCGCCTACAACGCGCTAGCCCCGACTGCGTATTACACCCAAATTCACCCAAATCGCGATTTTAGGTAATTATTTCACGCAGGTAGCATGAGTGACAGAGGGCTGGTAACAGTTAGTTCAGTATTTTCTTTCTTCAAGATTTAAACACAACCTAAATAAATACAGTCCACTTAGCTCTCATTTATTTACACAATAGTTTCTTTAAGTTTATTAGTCAGATAGATATCACAATTTTTTAGTTTCTTTTCTTCACCAAAGTAAATTATAATAAATAATTAGTCAAACACAGTCCACTTAGCTCTCCATCAACTACAATACATACCAATGATAATCGTTAATAGCAGTGTTCCCTTTCAGGCTTACTTCACGTACTAATTTCTAATTTTATAGCTAGTTGTGGGGTAAATTTTTCCTCACACTTGTAATCCTAAATATAGTGACGTATTTTTTTTCTCTTTCTGCGACACGCTATGGCGGTGTCTATAGGATTCTCTGTCTACGAGCTACAGGGATGAAATGAACTTATCAGTTGTCGACGGTTTGAAGTGTGCTGCTAAACTGCTCAGTAGCTCTAAAATCTAAAATAATTTTTTAGATTTTAGAGCTACTGAGCAGCAACCTTTAAGGCTGCTCTCTCGCAAAAAGCTTAAAAAAAGCGTGCAGATGAACCAACTTTTCGTCGACACTTACAGAGAAATTACATATGAAAAAAATAGTTAGTAATCTACATGATATGATACGTAATTTAGTTTAGCCATAATTTTTCTATCGGTGTCACATAATAAATAAAAAAATACCCAAATCACCTCCAAATCGTTGAGATGAAACCACTTTACTCCTTCATTGTTTATCAAAGGAATATAAAAAAAATATCTACTGCTTTGCAATACAAAATAAAATAATTTGGTTTGGTTACTTTTTAGAAATATGTATTATTTTTATGATAATAAATTAAAAATGCGTCCCCGATTAAATACTGCGTCTATATCACCCCCCGCATTCGTCCACGAATTCAGTGCGGGGTGCATCGTGTTACAAGGTGGACGTACGCCGCGTTGCGAGAGCTCAGCACTACGAAATAAAATCGTAAAATATAACATGCAAAAATTTAATTTTGTTAATAGTGGAGTAGGTTTTTTCTGATTCTTGTTTAATAGTAGTATTTTATATTATATTAATTGTACAGTTTTATTAGTGTTTAAGTTTAGTTTGTAAAACATGGGGAATAAGCAGAAACGATTGAAGAGAGGTCTAAAAAATATTACAAACAAAAGGGTATACATTTATCAAGGTAAGTTTTAAGTTTTATATACATATTTCATAATATTAGACAAGTGCTGTTTATAAAATACCTATATTCAAACAAAGTCGTCGTAAGTATAATACCACGGTAATTTTATCTATACAGTATTCCAACTTCATAGAAACGCACGAAACGAGAGCTGTGCCTATGCACCTCGATCTCGGCATGCGCTCGGCATGCAGACAGCCATGACTGTGCCGCAGTGATGATTTTGTGGAATATATAAAAAAATGGAGGAAATAAATAATAGAATAGAAATAAAAAAATAATAAATCCGAACTTCATTTAAAACCAAACATATAAATTGTAAAATATATTTTACTTGGTTATAGAATATAGATACCTCTATAACCAAGTAAAAGACATTCCTTTTCTCCACCGTGTCACGGTAATATTATTATAGATAATATATAATAATATTACCGTGACCGTGTCCACGTTTCCCAAAACAATTTTAATTAAGCTTTATATTAGAATGCGGATTTTTTATACTTAAAAATTTAATAATAAAGCATTTCGTACGTCTCAGCCGAGGTGCAAATATTTTTTGCACACAAATTCATAAGACCGATTTGTTATTCAAACAAACATGGTTTTTTAATTAAATCTACTAATCAAAAAACGACACGAATTTTTATTGAACACTTCCTATTCAATTCAAAAAGTACCTATTATATTTGTTTATATAAAAAAGTATATTTACAATCATAAAACTAAATGGAAACAGAAAGTAGGCAAATGTAAAAATGGTGGAGGCACGCAGCCCTATCGCATGTTTACGTACCGCGCGGTTGTAGGCATTTATGATACGGCCGAGTCACAATACTGTATAGATAATATTACCGTGATAATACTTCTGTGCCATAGAGTAGTGAATGATCACAGAAGGACCATATTCACGCAATACTTTCAATACTTTCAGTCAATATTTATTATAAATTTTCTTTTCGGTACTTATGTAAAGTATATTTATTTATTAATTTATTCTGATTCGTTGTGACTATTTATGACAAGTTAATTTTTTTTTGCAGGTCTTGTTTAGCTACAACTACCGACGAAAACTTTGGCAAAACTGAAAATGCTCCTGAAGTAGGTATTAATTATGATTATAGGTTAGGTACTTGCTAGTAATTTGTCGATTACCGGCTTAATTATTTTCAATAATAAATATAATATGTTTATGTTTTAATTTAATCTTTTTTATTTATTCATTATATAGTTTATTTTTCATTATATATTATACAAAGAAATAAACTTGATATGCAATTTTATTTATCTAATCATGTAAATATTTTTTTAAGGAATGTTTTGGTGAGGTAAATCAAATAAAAAAATCACTACCCTTATGTAGTGAATCAATTAGCTCTATCAGAGAAGTTGAAGGTGATTCTATGGATTTGGAGGTAAGTAAAATGTAAAATGTAAGTAATAATTTGTAATAACTACATATACATATTTTATTTTTATTTTTATTGTAACCATATGTATAACTGCTTTCATTTTAGGCACAAGATGAATTGGGCACTCAAAAACTACGTTCTCCACCGATTGACATGTTGACTCACAAGCATGTTGTAAGGTCTGTTGAAGAACTTGAAGATTATTCAGCTCCTTGTGAAGTATGTACTATCGATTTCATCTTACAATGCACTTAAACATCTTGAATAATTTAATTTTAGCTTAAAATCATGCTAATTATTTACAGGTAGACACGGCCGAATCTTCTGAGAAGACATATCAACTTGAAGGTCGAAGAATTCTCAATTTAAAAACATTTTATTTAAAATTACAAGAGGTATCTTCGCATGGACCTTTCAATTGTGGTCTCGGTAGCGTGGAAATTGTTTCTGAAAAACAAACTGGTTATCAATCAACTTTTACGCTTCAATGCAAATTATGCAACATGAAATTTTTTATCTCCAGCGATGAAGGTAGTGAAATGAACATCAACAATTGTGCAGTTTTAGGGACAGTGGCAATTGGTTGTGGTCATTCACAACTCCAAGAGCTATCTGCCTCTTTAGATTTACCTTCAATATCTTTCAACATGTACCAAAAATGCCATGAAAACATATCGAATATGTGGGAAGGAATTTCACTAAAAACAATGACCGATGCCGCGAAAGAAGAACGAGAGTTTGCCTTACTGCAAGGTCGTATAGATGAAAATGGTGTTCCTATTGTTGACATAATTGTCGACGGTTGTTGGAGTAAACGCAGCTATAGAAAAAATTACTCTGCGTTATCAGGAGCAACAGTCATTATTGAAAAAAAAACAGGGAAGATTCTGTTCATCGGTATTAAAAATAAGTACTGTTGTATTTGCACACAGGCAGAGTATAAAAAAGTGTTGCCTCGTGAACATAAATGTTTTAAAAATTATACAGGTACTTCAACAGGAATGGAGTCATCTATACTTGTTGAAGGATTTAAATGTTCCATTGACATGCACGAGCTGATTTATGGAAGGATGATAAGTGATGGAGATTCCGCCACATATTCCAAAATCATTGAAACTCGTCCATACTGCAATACAACAGTACAAAAAATCGAGTGCAAAAATCACATAATGCGAAATTTATGTAATAAGCTATCACAATTGAAAACTGACACCAAGTACCTACCCTCTGCGTTATAGAAAAAATATTACAGACCAAAAAATAAAGGCAATCAGATTTTCAATAAAAAAGGCAATTGAAAAGCAAACATCCGATTTAGAATCCGAGAAACGAGCACACGTTGAACTTCTTTATAACGATATATTACAGACTCATATACATGCCTTTGGTGACCATAGTGCTTGCAAACAATATTTCTGCAACAAACCTAATACGGAAGACACTAGCGATAATGAATTTAGGACAAGTACTCTTTGGAGCAAAATTTGCCAAATTATGTCAAACGTTGCATCTCACGCACCCAGTCTCATACATAATGTGGAAAGTAATAAAGCTGAAAGTTACAATAGCATAATCGCTAAACTAGTTGGCGGAAAACGTATAAATTATAGCCTGAAGGGTGGATATGAAAACAGATGCAAAGGTGCCGCAATATCCTATAACACTCATGCATTATGATCAACGACTTATAAATATGCCACCGGAAAAGTCCTAAAGGAAAAGTGAAGCTGCTTGAGCAAAGAAGGTTACTGAAAAAAAATACTTAAAAACAAAAGGCGTGAGAAAAAGGAAAAGATTATTTTTCAAGGATATAAAAAAAGTTCCAGAAATAATGGAGAAAGAAAAAATTACTTTCATCAATAATTTAAAGAAAGCAAAGAAGAAAGAGAAAAAATTGAAAAAGATACTATTTTACAGAGTTTATGCAGTGAATGGCTGGAATTGAGAAGGAAACTGTTAACAGCCTCTAACTTCGGCCGAATTATAAAGAGGCGTTCAAATATCAGTTGTAGTAACCTAGCAAAAGATTTACTGTATAAAGATAGCATTAGTCACGTCAAATCAATAAAACATGGGACTGAAAATGAAAAAATAGCTCTTGAGCAAATTTCAAAAGACACTGGATTGGTTATACAACCATGCGGTTTATTTATTGACGACGAATTGCCATATTTAGGCGCTACTCCTGACGGTATATGTGTCGAGGAAAACATGGTGGTAGAAATTAAATGCCCTGTTGCAGCTCACCAACTAAGTTTACCGAAGCAGTTACAAAAAAATACCCTTTTATAAAACCGATAAAACTGGTACGATTATTATTAACACCAATCATAATTGGTATTACCAGATTCAGGGTCAGCTTCACATAACCAAAAGAATAAGATGCCTTTTTGGACTATGGCTGGGTGAAAATATTCCCATGAAAATTGATATAATAGAAAAAGATGACAAGTTCTGGAAAGACGTAATGGAAAATAAATTAACTAGGTTTTATTTGGATTGCATATTACCAGAACTCATTGATCCAAGACATATGAGAAAAATGAAAATTAGAGACCCTATTTATATAGAAAAAGCTGTGGAAGAAAGCGCAAATAAAAAGAAACTACCAAAAAAAAAGAAAACAAAATGATTTAAATCAAAATAAAAAAGACAATAAATTACAAGAAGACGTTGTACAAGAGAAAAAAGAAAACGACAAAGAGAAGGAAATAGAACTAAGGAAAGAAAAAGAGGTTGAAAAGAAAAATGAAGACAACGAGAACGAAGAAGAAAAAAAAAAGATTTTGTCGGGCTATCGAAATTTCCGAATGTAAATATATGTGAACACGGAGAAATAAGCGAGGATGAAGAAGTTCAACCAACCAAAATAATAAAATTACTTGGTGAAAGAAACTTAAATTTCAGTGAATTTTAGTTATATTCTATTTATTTATAAAAAATACAACATATAATATGACATACACTTGTGCTAATTCTACCTACTTAGCTACCTACTTTACCTACCTACCTACCTACACTACCTACACTACCTACCCTACCTAGAAACCTTTCTCAGACTTTAAAGAATATTTGATAAAAATATATTAACCGAGTTGGTCCAGCCATTCTTGAGTTTTGCGCTTAGCAACACATTTAGCCATTCATTTCTATTTATATAAAATATAATTAAAAAGATACATCATGTTTCAAGCCAGGCTGATTTATACTAAAGGTATAGTTTCTACCCGCGGCCTCGAAAGCGTTTAACAATTTTATTCGTAACTATAGCGTAATATAACTTGGTCTCCATATTGATAGTACTCTGTCCTGGGGGGTTCATATCTCTGAAACATGTCGTAAAGTCTCTGGTTCTTTACGTTCTCTTTATCGATTGAAAAATTTTCTTCCCTGACTAAAATTATGCTTGTACAGTTACTTATACTACCAATCATTGATTATGCAGACGTGTGTTACCCGGATTTACACCAAAATTTTCCCAACAAGCTAGAGCGCCTTCTCAACAATTGCGTCAGATACATTTTCAATCTCCGTAAATTTGATCATATTTCTCATTATCGCTCTCGCCTAAAATGGCTCACTATTAAACAGAAGCGTGACTCTAGAATTTTGCTTGTTCTTTTCTCTATCTTAAATGATCCATCCACTCCTTCTTATCTCAAGGAGTAATTTCAATATATTTCCCTAACGCATGATAGAACTCTGCGTTCCTAATATAATAATAAACTAAGTATCCCTCTACATTTTACTAATTTTGTTGGTAAATCCTTCACCATTCAGGCTGCACTGCTCTGGAACTCCTTGCCCGATGACGTCAGAAAAACATCTAATAAGACTGCGTTTAAAAGATTGGTACATAAGCATTTTATGAAAATATTAGATGATAGTTAATATGCTTAATTTTGGTTACCTTTGTTGTTATTTTATTTATAGGTTTATATTATATATCTATTTGTATTTAAAATATGTATATATTTATGTATCTATGAATATGTATGTATATATTATATATTATATTTTGGAGTATATAGTTTTTAAGTTTATCAGTAGTTTTTTTCCTTGATTTACTCCATTGTTCATTTTATTTTGTCACCTATCACATAATTTCCACACGTCCCGGGTTGACGTGGAGAGAATGCCTAATGGCATTAAGTCCGCCCTTTGTAATCTTTTTATGGTGCAATAAAGTGTAAATAAATAAATATAGCCCGAAAAGTACAACACGTACGAATTAACTTGAGACTCCGCTGGAATGCGACCCCCTTCCCGACTCCCCGCACCGCGTCCCGCGCTGGCCGTGCGCGCTCAGTACCGATAGCATTTTTGTTACGGATACGCGTCTCGACTCTAGTTCGATATTTTTGATAATTGTTTGTTGTTTGGTTTGGACTTTTGTTTGTTTTTGTTATACTTGAACGTTATTTTATCTGTTTGTTGTTAATTGCGTTGTTTTATTGTTAAGTTTGGACGTTGTGTTGTGCCGTTTTCTTGTGACGCTTAGGAGTTACTCCGCCTTTTTTTATTTTTAAATTTTTTTTATAGTGCAATAAAGTGTATAATAAATAAATTAATAATATTATAAATGAGAAAGTGTGTATGTTTATTTCTTTGTCCTTCCTTGACGCGTTAACTAAAAATAATATATATATATATAAAAATAAATTTATATATTATATATATATATATATATATATTATAAAAAATAAATATTTAAAATATATAAAAATGGCAACAGTATATCACTTATTACTTCACCCCTTGCCAGAACATTTTATTTTGTTTTTATTAATAATCTCATGCAAATCTCAAAAATTTCAAATAAAAAAATATTACGACGCATTATTTTGCACACCGTACATTGACAATTACGTCATCGGCCCAGGTCTCAAGTTAATTCGTACGAGTTACACATCCATGTCAATAGATAATAAATAAAAACAAAATTGGACCACTATAAATGCGCTACACATAAAAATTAATTTAACTTTCACGATGATTTGACCTTCTGTGATTTCGTCACTCTGTGACGAGACAAAGCGCGGCAAACGCAAGTGGCGGCAAGGCGCGGGCCGCGTCGTCGCATGCTGGTAGCGAAGTGGCGCGGAGAGGGGTCGTTAGCTCCGCCCAAATGCACAAGGCCATTAGCGTGAATACAAGCCTTAAAAAGTCGTCTATCCCACTAATATTTTTCGGCACGTTCTTTAAATTTTAACCCGTAGCTATAGTGGCGCCACCCTTATTTAACGGTTTTCTACGGACACTTTTTAATACACAGTCTGTACTCCTTACCTTTACACTCCATAGTTTTTCTGTCTACGCAACCAAATCCGTAGACAGAGAAACCTATAGACTAATGATCGGCGTGGCCTCGAGTGAGAAAGGACGATAACGAATTTTTAGGTTATACAATAATCTTTATGACTTTTAAACACATTTAGATAAAAAATTTAATTGTTCTAAGAACTGAACTGAACAAGATTCACCAATCTTAGGCTCACAAAACACTTTTTTCTCACATAAACCAACTTGTAAACTCCTTAAATCGCTACGCTTTCAAAGTTTCAAAAAACCGGCACGGTGAAAGGGACAAACAATCACACCGCTCTAATCACATCTCTCATTTCAGTGCAAGACGTATGCATAAATCTATCTTTTTAGTGTGCGAATGCGAAAGAAGGCGTCAATTTGTCTATAGGTTTCTCTGCCTACGACCAAATCTAAGAAATACATTTTGACAGCTGTCAGACTTATTGCACCAAGCATGCCAACCAAAAAATGGGAACGTACAATATTCGATTCTTAAAAAAATCTATATAGATTATTTAGAGTTGGTAATCATTTACAGTTTGGTTTGAATAATACCAGAATAAATTAAAAACGGATAATTTAAAACACAAGATTTATCATTTTCTTCGTATTTGTTGCCACTGCTTATTTCTAGACGCACAGTTATAAAAATTTAAGACTGAAACCATATTAAATATAAATTTATTCAATCACTTTCCGTACAGCTAGTTGAGTTTTCGTTATTTAGATTAATTATTATTTGATTTTCAATAATGCAGTCAAAATTAATGTATCATCAATCAATGTGCCCAATGATCTTTTGTGACAGGGGCAATGCTTCAACGAATATGGAAGAAACAGTCGAAAAAAGTTAAAGCCGGGTCACAAAATAAGAAGAAAAACACAAAGTACAAAATTACGCACAATAAGCTCCCGGAATGGCGGGATATTG